TTTTTTTTTTTTTTTTAATATGCAGACTCGATTGTTTAGGTGAAAAAAGACGAGTGTGGAGCACGAATCGACAACGAGACAGGGTGCAACCAGCGACAACAGTTCCTACCTGGCTGAGGAGAGAAAGAAGCGAGCTGAACAGCTTATCAATGCTCACTCAAAAGCAATTTTTCAGTAACTTCTATCAAATGCAAACAGAAGGACGCAATTCTAGAAAAATTATTAAATCACATCAAACAAAAGCAAGCCAATCGTTCATGAGAGCAAATTTTGAAGGAACAGCGACTCATACAATGTGAGGAGATCACGACGCGAAAACAAATAATGGCGAACATGTTTCGATGCGTATGCTTCAGTAACACCCCTTCCCCACTACCTACCAGTATCACTAGAATGCAGCTCCGGATCGTTATTTACAAAAATATCGCATTCCCACAGCCACTAGAGCACTTCCAGTAGACCCACAACCTGTGCACACGAAGGCACTCAATCTATCAAAGTGGAATAAAATATGGGTGACTAAAAAAACAAGATTCGATCGGGAGAGTGGCAGTTCCGGCGCAGGTGCTGGAAGAGCACTGTAATTCGACCAAGCAAAATACGGCACGAGAAAAAGTTGACGTATAACTAAAGCTTGACAAGAGCTGCACTCTTCTCCAAACCTGTGGAAAGGCCTGTTGTTTTACTCTCAATGAATCAAACCAAAGCCGAGTAAATTCATTATGAGCAAAAGTGGAGTGAAGCTTTCGCACCAAAACATGCTGTAATTGTAATTGTGACGCACCAGTAACGTAAGAGCGTTACGGCGCTAGTACCAGTTCAAGCTTCAGAGCGTAGAGGAAAAAAGCCAATTATCAGTTGCCTGAAACGTATCACCCATAGACTGACCACAGTTCAGTGTACAAAAGGACTGGAATAGTAGCATGGACTGGTACCTTGAGCAAATCGACTTCGTGATATCCTAGTCATATACTGTACACATTGTTTAGAGAACACTGCTCAATGATTTTGCAATGTTACGCAATCATGGACTGAATATAATCAATCCCTCATATTTCTGTAATTAATAATCACGATTTCTGCTTCAGGCGCAGGGCGGTAAAACGCCGCGCAACAACTCTCGCCAATATTTCCGCGCCAATTCGCATAAGTGACATGTGGTCATGAACATATAGAAGGTGCACTTCTGAGTACTGCTCCGGGATGAACCGGAAGACTGAGCCATACTGTTACGAATGCGAATGGGGAATGACTTGGCTTTCGAGACTTCGGATAAACAAAACTGCTCAATATTAGTGGCTAATCTAACAAACTTGCATTAAATGAACGTCTCCGATAAATAATTCTTTTGCTAGTAAAATTATCATATATGTGCAGATCACACAAACAGTGAAAGAAAAAAATAAAATGCGAAGCAAGATCGGGAAGCGAGAGCAGGGCAGACTGAAAACTTGCTGCTGCATGAGAATAAAAACATTTTCCATGAAACGGCTCTCGAGAAACAGGTCCAACGCAGCTGAAGAGTGATAAGAATGTGTAGCTAGTGAATAAAAATAGCACACAGCCTGTAATTATAGTGACAAGTTCAAATCAATAATATAAGGTAATAGGCCCAAATTCACGAACGAGTATGGACTAAGAAATGGGGTACACAAATCCTCGCTCAGCAGAAAAGAAAGAGACGACAGAAAGGATCATCAAACTAAAACTGAAAAACGGAAACAACAGTGCTTCAAGCATTCTGTTCGAAGCAAAGGAAGGAAATTTGAAGGAATCGTATCACTTAGATAAGGGAGGCTGAAAATCATGCTGCTGTTACTGCAAACTGAGCAGAAGCGGCAGTGCGCGAAATCACTGCTCACCGGCAACTCCTCCTCCTCCTCCTCCAGCAATGCCAGCTGTCTGTGTATCACAGTCGACGGACCGAAACGTGCAATCCGTTTGTTGGCAGCGCACCTGTTGGTGCTGTGCACAACGCCGACCACCTGAGGTAGAAGTTGTAAGCGCCCAATCGTGCTGGAACGTGTAGAAACATTAGTGCGGTAAAAAAAAGCACAAAAATAAAATCATAATTTCTCTTCTAGACGACAAGAATTGGGTACGCCTAAACGAGGGCGCCACACTGCAGTATCACCGACGTAGACAAAATATATACAAACAAAATACCCTAGCAAATATCGCAGTAAGAAAATGCAGAAGGGCGGAGAGCTCGTCACGGATAAAACGGAAAAATAACAAACTGCTGTTTTAGCAATATTTTGCGCACTGTGCGGAAAGTCGTGACAAAAAGAATAGAGGAGGCAGGGAAGCGGCCATAATCTGAGTTTCCTCAGAGCATGAGCATACACAAAAACGATAAACTGTACAGCGAAATCCGGAGACAGTTGCAACCTCAACAAATAACTTTTAAAAAACAGTGACTTACTTTTCGTTTTTCTATGTCCTTATCGCTATCACCCATTGCTGAGTCAACAAATTCTTGAGATCCAATACCACAAACGTTACTTACTACCAAACGCTGAAATTACATTTTCGGTAATCATTCCGGGAAGTCCCACCTATTTTAGCAGCAAATTAAAAAAATCTCTCATTGCTTCCAATTTAAATGCCGAATGCAATGCTCTTTTCAATGCACAGCGACGTCGCTTAAATCACTGAAAGTAAAGGATGGGCTGAACATAACGTGGAACTCTCTCTTCTTCCTCAGCTATACTTCATTCCTCAGTTGATGCATTTATAAATCTTGACACTGCCAATTCATATAGCTTGGATTAGTGCGCAGAGGGAATGCATGGGAAGGAGGAAATATTGCATTCGGCAAGAGCATAAATAATCCAAGTGGATGTTTACGTTCCGACAATCTGGCCTGCATAACGTATGGAAATGCAGGGGTGGTCAAATATTTACTGCGTTGCACTTGAGCTATATGCAACAGTGGCACGGCCTGAGAATCGGATAGCTTTGGGAATTGTTGGAAGAGCGGAGCATACTGTTAGAAAGAAGAAACTACCACTTTTTTTAAATCAATTTCTTATATTAATCATACCGTTTACGCCAAAGGAGGCTGCCAAGGAAATAAAAATATCAAACTGCGACGAACCGCAGTGTAGCAGCTCCTAATTGAGGCATACAGAATTTAAAGACAAATCTAACTGGTGAAACATCGTTTCGAACTCAGCGATTTAATTAAACCGATTTCGAGACTTCAATCAACAGAAGAACACAAACTTCGCGCATTTTTTCAAAATCAAGCGATGGTCGACCACTGTTAACCATACGACCACGCTTCAGCGGATGCGTCGGCAGTGCATCCAACTCGATGCCCGCATCTGTTTTGTCTGAATTAAGGGTTGTCGAAGACAGTGATGGGCGTCGAACACCGGACGGATTGTGGATGATCAGCCTGACCGGTTGTCGGCGCGCAGCGACAAGTGTCTCTCGCGGCGAATCGCTGTTACCACCACCTGAGATAACGCGGATCATCTTTTTGGCTTAATTCATGCAACCAGTCAGATCGAAATTCGTAAAAGCTAGTCCAGTTTAGCTAATTACACATTGTTTGCACCAGACTGCTACAAACTGGACAGCTAAATGCTGCAGGCGTCATTTCCGTTTAGTATCCTCGGAATTGGTCTCAGCTGAATTGGAATTTTTCAGATTTTATGGCTATCACTCAGTCATTTGTCTAGCCAATTAATTTGCAATAGCACCCCTCGCTTTAAACTATCGTCCTTCATCGACGCACTTTGCACACCAAATATGCGATGCTCGTTATAGGTAGGACAAGAAATGCTCATGAAATGGAAAGCGCAACACTTTCTGGATAAAATGGAGAAATTTATTCACTGAAATGTTCGGTCATGCCAAATCGACCAAACTATTAAATGTGTTACAGAAATGTATTAGCAATTTCCGGATTCCAGAAATTAATAATACAGTTCAAAAAGATTTCCACACATACTTCATTTTATTTGAAACACATAG